CCCTTCCTCCTCATTACCATCTCCTGACATCCCTGGTTTATTTCAAGACCCAGCTCAAACCCCACCTTCTACAAGAAGTCCTTGTTTCGCCTTAATGCTACCTAGTGCCATCTCTCTGTTACTCATCTCTAATTTGTCCTGTATAGACCTTGTTGGTATGTGGTTGCTTGTATGGGGTGTTCAGGAAGGACTGGCACCTCTGGTGTGAGGGCTTGCTGGGCCCTTTTCAGGGCTGCTTATCCACCTTTGGTGTCCACCCGACTCGCCTAACTCTCACTTGGGGCTCCAAGAAGCTTTAGCATGGACAGCATCCACACCCCAGTAAAACAGTCTTAGCAGATGGGCCAAATCAGGCTGAGAGTAACTGACAGGCCTCAAACCCATTGGTGAGTTAGGAGGATGTCTACCTCAAGCATGTAAAGACTTCCCCCAGGGAATGGGTGGATGAGAACAATTTGTTCCAACAGTCATGAAGGCAGCTGAAGCAGGCTCGGGGGAGCGCTTAGAGCTTGGGTCAGCCATCGAAAGCGCCAAGGTCATCTGCCTCAATCCCAGGCCAGCGCCAGTTGTCCTGACTTTTGTCTTGCCACTGGACTCTGATAACTCTGGAAGAGAGAGTGAGGCTGCCAACTTTGTGCAGCTCTGTCTCACTTAGATCCAATTCCCCCAGAGTCAGGACATCACCCCATGATGTCATTGGTCCTCTTTTTAAAAATGAAGGATGAACAACAATAACAATGTGACCTTGGGCAAGTCATTTAACCTCTATTTGCCTCAGTATCCTCAACTGTAAAATATGGACAATAATAAGGGTTGCTGTGAGGACAGAATGAGAAAATATTTGTGAGGTTCCTGGCACATTGTAGGTCCAGTATAAATGCTCATACCCTCTCCTTCTTCCCATGTGGAGTGTATGTGAGGGAGGAGTTGAGGGGTACCATCGAGATTGTAAGCCTGGATGACTTCATTTTGTGTTCTTAGATTCCTTCCAACTCTGCCTTTCTGTTCTAAGGATCTTCTAGCTCTGAGATTCTATGTTTTAAGATCCCTTCTATCTCTGAAATTGCCTCAATGCCCCCACCCACCTCTGCCATTCTTGTTCTGAGGGTTCTCTCAGCTCTGCCATCCTGGTCTATATTCTAACATCCCATCTAGCTCTATGGTTCTCTGCATCCATAAATTGGAACTCCATTCCTCCTGACCAAGAATAAAGCTAAACATATTCTCTGCCATTTCTAGAGTTTCCTTGTGTTTCTTTATACACAGTAACATTTCCATAATAATTTGAGCTGAATTTTAAGTCCATTTCACATCAGACCTCATGGCATGAGCTCCTTTATATAAAATTCCTGTCACAATCCCTCATTTAGGAGCTGGGGAGGAAGTCAATGCATTCCCCCTCCATCAGTGACCTGTAATCTATAAAAGCAATGCTGTCCACAAAAGGCCCTTTTTTTTTTCATCTGCAACACTGCTTATTAGTACCTAGCTAGCTAAGCAACAGTAATAGGGACTGAGCAGAAAGGCACTGAGTCATCAATGAGCAGCAACCATTTTGTTTAGGGAAAGATGGAAAAAGCCCAACTCAGAGGAAAAACAAGCCAGGCAAACTGCACAAGCCAAGGCTAGGGGGTGACTGGAGGGGGGCTTCTGTCTTGGATTCAGCCTGTTGCCTCCTCCCACCCCTGCTGTACATATACAAACACACATTCCCCAGGAGGGATCTTCTGGGTCCAAACCATGGGACCAAAACACCAGCCTCACCCCAAGTTTGGTTTCTAGAATTGACCCACAGGGCAGTTTGGTTTCTTGGTGTTAATCCATCCTTCCACTCAACTTTCAAAGTGATATTCCTAAACCTTTAGTCTGAATAATACACCCCACCCCCACCCCCTTAATAACTCTAGTGATTGCCTGTTACCTCCAGGACCAGATATATATAGTCCCTTGACTTCTAAAGCCTTTCACAGACTGGTCCCTTACTACTTCTCCAGTCTTCTTATGCTTCAGCCTTTCCACATCCTCTATGATGCGGCAACACCAGCCTCCTATTGTTCCTTGCATGAGATACTCCATCCGAGCATTTTCTCAAGTGGTTTACCATTGGAATGGTCTCCCTCCTCATCTCTCCTCCTTCCTTCAAGACTCAGGTCAGATGCCACTTTCTTTCCCAGTTCCCCCCACCTCCCAGCCCCCAGCCCGTGCCTGTCCTCTGAGATGATCTTCTATTGGGGCTGGATTCATCTTCTATGCACCTGGTTGCTCACTCTTTTTCCTCCCTTAAAAAGTGAATTCCTTGAGGGTCAGCACCCTGTGTACCTGCCTTTCTTTATATCCTCAACAGTTAGCACAATGCCTTGCTCATAGCTTGATAATGATGAAAGGTTTGGCCCCTTGGGGGCTTTAACTGCATCAATCACAAGGGGATGGCACCTTAGGGTCAGGCTCTGGTATGAGGACAAAAGCAATCCTGGGAGCATCTAGCTCCATTTCGAATATATCAACCTTTGTCGAATACACTTGTGTCCCATTTGGATGTATTTACACGTCACTTAGGGTGGAAAGATGTGATTTGGGTACTTAAGAAAATCCCACAAAATGAGCTGAAATGCTATGTCATGAAAGTCACTTTAGCTGGTCCATAGTCTTAATTCAGTATATATGCTGAGGAAGGGATGGTTGAGCTTTCTAGTGGAGTGGAAATGTAGGGCTTTCATATACCGAAAATAGCTAGACATTCTGGCCTCCAAGCTAAAAAGGGTTAGAGTTAGGAAGGAGGCTGCTGGCAGGCTTGGGCTCTCACTTCGTCTGCATGGCTTGGCACTTATTTAGAGAAGACAGGATTCATTGGAAAAGACCCCTGACATTGGGAAAGATTGAAGGCAAAAGGAGAAGGGGATGGCAGAGGACGAGATGGAGAGATAGTGTCATGGAAGCAACCAATATGAGCTCGGACAGACTTCTGGAGATAGCGGAGGGCAGAAAGGCCTTGTATGCTATGGTCCATGGGGTCACAAAGAGTCAGACGCAACTGAGAAACAAAGGGCCTCTTCAGCACTTAACTCTCATCAAGGCCCTGCCCTAGCAATCATTGGATGCTCAAATTTCTCATTGGGGGGAGGTGTCATCTAGTCCAAACTCATTTTTCAGAGCAAACAGGCCCAGAGATATGAGGTGATTTATTGGAGGTGCCACAGGTATGAAGCAGAGCTGGGATTCTTTCCACTGTACCCCACGGTGCCTCCTGCAAGTTTGGTGGGTTCTGTTCAGAACTCCAATAGAGTTCTATGCCTATTGCAGTTGCTTCATTTTGTGTTTGCATTTTCAGTGCCAGGCACCTAGAAGGTGCTCCATAAATGCTTGCTGGATGGAAGCAGAGTTTTGCTGGAACTGCTCAGTCTACCTTTTATATTAGCAGTAGACAAGGGACCAGGCTGTCTCCTGTCATGTTACTCAAGCCTGACAGTTTTTCACTCTTCACTGACTTAGCCTAATTATCAACAGCAGTACCCACAGAACACCTGACACATGCACAGTGCCTGCCACATAGTAAGCTATTTCACTCATTCACCGGGGCTGTCAGGGAAGGTTCAAAAAAGGCCAAAGAGGTAAGTGAACTGGCTTACAGGACTGGGCCAGTCATTGGGCAGCTTGGGAAAGTTCCTGCCCTTCTCTGGGTTTGCATCCTTCTTTATCAACTGAAAGGGCTGATCTCAGCCAAATGGGCCAGTCTGTGATAGCAAGGGCCAAAGCAGAATATTTTAGCTGTGAAGTTGTGAGGGTTAGGCATAAATGTACCTTTGGCTCAGTAGCTGGGGATGAGGGAGAGCCACCTCCTATGGAAGGCTATGTGTGTGTGTCACTGTAGCTGGGAATAACTGACCGGAAGAAGCTGACCACTCTATTGTTGTTCATTTGTGTCTGACTCTTTGTGAGCCCATGTGGGGTTTTCTTGGCAAAGATACTGGAGTGGTTTGCCATTTCCTTCTCCAGCTCATTTTACAGATGAGGAAACTGAGGCAAACCAGGGTAAGTGACTTGCTCAGGGTCACGTAGCTAATAAAGTGTCTGTGACTGGAATAGAACTCAAGTCTTCCTGACTCCAGCCCAGGCGCTCTATCCACTGAAGTGCCACCTAGCTGCCCCCACTAACTGGGACCATTTGCTGAATTTCCAGTCCCTTTCCAGTCCTTTGCATCAGGACCCAAACTCCTTTCTAGTATTCTTGGACCAGGATTATTCTTCACACTATTTGTTCTTGGGCCCTCATCAGAAATGAAGTGGGAGGAAGGAGTGTTGGGGTTCAGATCAAATGATACATATTTTTGATAAAAGAGGCCAAATAGAATTGTTCCTTTTAAAGCAAATAGCTTTTTTTCTTGGCCCTGGACCTCTGCTGCCTGGAGCTGACTGAAGGAGAACATTGGCACTGACTTAGCTTGACCATCTTCCTTACTTGAATATAATCTCCCCCCATCTTTGTGGCAAATCCCAAGACTCCCTTATGAAATGGGGTTGTTTTAAAAGCCAAAGACTTGCTGCATTTAAAAAGGCTTCATTTGTTTACCTTCCCTGATAACAAAACAGCCTGCAATAAAGGCCATCCTACCCACTGCCTAGGGAGCTCCTCCATGGAGGGCTGCCCAGGTTTGTCTTGATCCAGGACAAACACCCCATCTCACTGCCCCACTGTCCCTCCTACAATAAGCTGAGTCAAACCATGTGTTTATAGACCTTGTTTCTCCCCAAGAAAATTCATGGACCCATAGGGTTAAAAGGGAAAGCCTACAGGGCTAGAATGGGAAAATAATCATGAACCATTAGACTAGAAGATCTAACTGGGTGGAGTAACCCAATGGAGTGAGGAAGTTGAAGCCAAGGGGAACTGAACTGAGTTAGGGAGACACAGCCCTGGAAGTGGAAGAGTACAGAGTTCCCTCTCTTAACAAACCTAAAGGGAAGTCTCCTACACAACGTTGACAAAACACCACAGGACACAATTGTGCGAAAATAAATTATTCAAACAGAATGAAGTCGTGAACATTAGCTGAATCCAACCAGAAGCATTTGGAATAAGACCAAACATGGGTCAACAAAATAAATTCATCAACATCAACTGTTTCACAGTAAGACTAAACATTTTTTCTGAAATGTAAATGCTATTTTCTGAACTTTTGAAGGCAAACAATATCACTGTGTGCTCTAGAACAACACCTAGGCCATTCATTTAGCAATGCAGCATGTCAACAATTGCAGATAGAAAGAGAGAAGAGAGAAGATGGAGGGGGGGGGAGAGGCAGGAATGAGGGTTTTCCAAATGGAGTACCCCTAAGCAGGTGTTATTTAGGACATCCTGCTCAACACTCCCCCTGAGGTTAATAATGACCACCCATTAAGACAGTATTTCGATTAAAGACAGTGACAATAAGTTCCCCCCCTCCCCCCCCCCCAACCAATTAGGAAGGGAAAGCAGAGCAGAGCAGAGCCCCTTCCTTTCTCTTCATCTCTTGGGTTTTACTGGCCCTGGTCTTGGCTTGGGCCCTGGCCTTCGCCTTCACCCTGGCTTGGGCCCTGGCCTTCGCCTTCACCCTGGCTTGGGCCCTGGCCTTCGCCTTCACCCTGGCTTGGGCCCTGGTCTTCTCCCTGGCTTGGGCCCTGGTCTTCTCCCTGGCTTGGGCCCTGGTCTTCTCCCTGGCTTGGGCCCTGGTCTTCTCCCTGGCTTGGGCCCTGGTCTTCTCCCTGGCTTGGGCCCTGGTCTTCGCCCTGGCTTGGGCCCTGGTCTTCGCCCTGGTTTTGGCCCTGGTCTTCGCCTTGGTTTTGGCCCTGGTCTTCGCCTTGGTTTTGGCCCTGGTCTTCGCCTTGGTTTTGGCCCTGGTCTTCGCCTTGGTTTTGGCCCTGGTCTTCGCCTTGGTTTTGGCCCTGGTCTTCGCCTTGGTTTTGGCCATTGTCTTCGCCTTGGCTTGGGCCCTGGCTTGGGCCTGGCTCTGGTCCTTGGCTTGGGCCTGGCATTAGTTCGCGGGATGGGCTTGGCATCGGTTCGTGGCTTGGGCCTGGCATTGGTTCTTCATCATGGTCTTGGTCTTGATCTATATCTTGGACATGGACTTGGATTTGGTTTGGGTTTTGGTTGCGGGCCAAGAACATCAGGACACGCTGAATGCCATGCAAGCGGTTCTTCAGGGACTTCATGGATAAGAAAGGAAGCTGAGCCCTACTTTCAAGTGGAAGGACTGCCAGGATCCACCAGCACCAGGAAGGGCCATTGGGGTTGACCTGGAGTAGAAATACAAAGGAGGACTGGTCATTTTCAGAAGAAGTCCCATGATGCTGGGAGATTTCCTAAACCCAAAGCACAAGGATCTACCTTGGTTTGCTTTTTCAGCTCCAACTTCTCTGCCCTGTCCCTAGGCTACTCTCAGACTTTTTTTCTTTTGGTCTATTCTACTGCACCCCTAGTGGCCTCTACACCTACCCGCTAACCTTCCAGATGCTGGCTGTTGTTCTGAATCAAAGTTCATGTCTCTTGGCCATCCCCTCCAGGTCTGCATTTGTATAAACTGCCACATGCAGCTGCCTGGTAGCTCTGGGCTGGTGCTGCCCAAGCGACAGTGACAATTACTAAGAGTGTCACCATGCCCTTCTGAGTCGCTGGGGCATCTGTGTGCTTTTCTTGGAAAACTACTCTTACTTCTGCTGTTTCCCTTCTGCCAGCTGGGCAGGGCTGAGAGACAGTAGCTCAGGCTGAGCACAGGGGCACTGGGAGGAGACCTCCCTCACCAGGGAGATGCTTCTGCATTAGGGAACCTGAATCATAGGCAAAGGGAGAAGGGTCACCCCTTCCCTCCCACTCTGGGAATAGACAATGTCACCTTAGCATATGCTAGGGATAGGAAGTGACTGTTTTAGAACACAGAAAGGGACAGGACTGGAAGGGCCCTCAGGACAGAGAATGTACCAAGTCTGAGCTGCAGGGGACCCTGAGACATAGAACATGGTGACAGAAGCTATGGCCATGAGTTAAGTCTGATGTCTCTCCTGAGCTCCACTTCCACATAAAAGCCTGCATGCTAGACATACGCACCTGGACAGTTTCAGTTCTATCTCCTCATCTCACGCCTGGCCTTTTCTCCTTGCCTGTTTGCCTGGCCTGTCCAAAGTTTTTCTAGTCAAGTATCCTATCTCCCAGCCCAACTAGGAGTTCTCATTGCTCTGACTCAGACTGTGAATGTCAGCCTCACCTTTGCTTTGGAAGAGATGAGACCCTAGGGCCAAAAGGACTGCTTATGTTGCCCTGCCCTCCAACTTTGGTTTAGGCTCCTACTTGCATGGCCAGATAGTAACAAAAGCACAAGCACGTAACAACCTCCACTGCTTCTCCTGTGATGCCCTTGTCTGCTAATGACTACACTCATTCAATCACCAACCCCAGGGACCCTCCGTGGGCAAGTGCTCTTCTGTTGTACCTGTGGATCCAGATCTTTTGGTGGCATGGGACCAAAGTGGCCCAGAATGCGGCTCCGGAGTGTTTGTTTGAGCGAATCAAACCAGGCAAGTGACTGATCATACACGGTGCTATGCAGGCTTAGCAATCTGGCATACTCTTCCCCTTCAACCTGGAATTAGCCAGAGAAGTCACATGAGCAGGGGGCTGCTGGCCACTCCCCGGGCATTCGGTCCCTCTAGCAAAGACCCTTCAGCCAGACATGCTTGAGTCCAGCCAGCCAGCATGACTGACCCATTCAGATGGATGATGGCCCATTTGGAGAGAGGTTTGGGCACCCTGCTTCTGTCTGTGTACTTGCACATCAACTTACATGTGTCCAGACATAGGCAATTACACGGTAGCGGGAGGGGAAGAGGCCAATAGCTGTTGAAACTAGTTTTCACAGCAAAACATCTGCATCGTCAAAGATATTAAAAGGGGACTGAATTCCTACCCCCCCCCCCCCACCCACCCATTCATTCCTTATGGATCCTCTCTTAGGACCAGGAAGGGAATGTGAGAAGGTACCATTCTAACTCAGCATTCCAAAGCTACACTTCATTCATTCCACAGATATGTGAATGAATGCCTGTTACATGCATGAAGAGAAATGACTACTGTCATGGTCACCTCTTCTTCTCACCACAAGCAAGTCAAAAATGCGCTGCCTAACTGCTTGCCACTATCTCACTGTGAAACAGGATAGTGCATTCATGGGAAGATGGGGATTTGGGGAGGACCTGTATCCCAGGTCAAGTTAAAGGACGTGCTCTTCCTGAGGCCTCTAGTTGCTCAGCTACTGAGCTAGGGGAGAGGGGCCAATGCTCTGCTCTAGCTTTCTGGCTTCTCGTAAGGTACCACCTGAAGCCTAGAGGGAAACCCCCAGCAAAATGCTCATGAAGCCAGGTGGGCATTCCAAGTTCCTGGAATCTGCTGGATTCCTGATTCTCAGCCCCTGGAGCAAACCCACCTTGTGATCCTCAACATATTCGATGTCAGCCGTGTTGTAGCCATCCCTCTGGCTCTGCCTCAGCACCTTAAACCTCCTCTTACCAATGCTGTCCACCACGGAGCGACCATCAGGAAAGAATTCAACATTTCTTATCTCCAGCAAGCAACCATATTCTGCAAACCTATATATTGGGGTAGGAGTAAGTAAAACAGTCATTCTTATCACTGGCTTTGTTTCCCCAGGCCTGAAGCTTAGCCACCTTGGTGATTCTAGAATATGATTTGGCCAACTCCAGAGCCTGAGTCCTTGGGGGTCCCCACCAGGAATGCCAGGAGTCTGTGTCAGGCATGGCCCCTTGGACCAGAGTCTTTACTCCATGTGCCCTTTTTCTTCATGTGGACACTGGCTCAGTTGAGAGTCCTCAGAGGCTTCTCTGCAAAAGAAGGGTGTACCAGAGCCCATGACCCTATCTATCTCCCCCTCTACTCACTGGGCCTAAACAGATGTTCAGGGATTTCAGGTAATGAACTAAAGTGGGCCTGAGGAACAATATGTACTGAAGAAACACAAAACAAAAAACCATTCCCCCTGTGTCATCTAATCAAGGCAGCTGCAAGAGCAGGGAAGATACAGTGATGGTCACAGATACTCTGCTTTGAGACAACAAGGATCATCAATCACACTGGGGCAAGTGAGCACAGATGTCCTTGCAAGCAATTATGGAATAAGCATCCCTTTATACAACAAGGACATCAGGTCCCCATCGTTCTGAGCACTGAAGGGAAATTCAGGATGTCCTAGGGCAGCTCTGCCCCTCAACCTAGGAACCCCCCCAGGGGCCCCAAGCACTACTCTTATGCCAGTGGAGACTTAAGGCATAGAAAGCAGAAGCTGGAAAGGAAGGAGTGGGAAAGAGAAAAAGAGGAAAGGAAGAGAAATGAGAAATATCTTTGCTGGAGCAGGAAGGGAGAGAGTTGAATTTAGAGTCCAAAGTCCCGGGTTCCAACCTTGGCTCAGCTGCTCTGTGGCCTTGGACAAGTAGCCTGGCTGCCACTGCTTCAAGTACACTCTCTTATAGTAAGACCAGTCTCTCCTTCATGTTTCCCACTACAATGCTCATCCCTACTTCTATTCCACTTGCCTGGTGTACCCTCTCTCCTCTTTCCCACTTGGTAAAGTGGTATGTGGTAGAAAGTAGAAAGCTACTAGTAATAGCGAGGGATTCACAGGCCATGTTCCTACAGGGTTAGGGGTAGTCTAGGAGACTCCATGCCTTCCCCAAGACAAGCTCAAGGTGGTCCCACAGGTTGCCAGAGCAACTCACATCCTAGTATTGCCTAGGGTTCAGAAAAAAGGTTATGTTGCCTATGTTCCACTGCCTCTCTGGGGCCTAAGTTTTGCCATCTGTAAAACGTGGGCGTTGGGCTAGATGTGCTGGGACAGTCTGTCTATGTTGTCCGAGTTTCTCCCCACCTCCCATACCACACCCTACTTGAGCCGGGCCCCATGCCTTCAGGCTGTCCTTCTGGCGGCCTGCCACACACTCACCCTCTGGAGGAGTCGCCAATGCACATGCCGAAATGCTTGCTGCCAGTCTCCATGCATCTTCGAATCATAAGGCGGTAGCAAGGCTCGAAGATGTGCAGGGGGCATGGCACAGTGGGGTAGGCCATGGTGCACACAAATATAGGCACATTCTTACTCAGGCTGCTGCAGAAGGGAAATATAATTTTGACAGCAGGATTCTTCCCTCATGTTCCCACCAGAGAGGGGCCATCTTTGAGCACCTTTAACACTATGGAGGAATGTCTTGGCCCGCCTCTGATTTTGCTGTCTTGCCAAACAAGGGCCTTCTGATGCTCTGCTTTCAGCTTGGAGAAGCTGCTGTGTCCAACAGGAGGAAAGACGGCCCCCAGCTTGCCCAAGGAATAGAGGCCTTCTCAGCCACCATCACTCCTGGACCCACCTGTGAACCTCTCCCTTGACCTCTCACCTGCTGGCTCTCCCTCCAAGGAACCATCAGGGCAAAAAGGGGTAGGGGGAAAGCAGGTAAACTGCCAAGCCCCACCCCATCCCAAGCCCAAACTGGGGAGGGGGTGGGAGGACAGCTTTGTTTAATGATGCAGAGAAATCCTAAGTTGCTGAGGGCTTAGTCAAATTCCAAAAGGAGTCATCCCCAAGCTGAGTCCTCTGGTGCTGCCACAGTAGTTGGGGAAAGCTAGTTTCCAGGGGATGCTGCCAACCAAATAGCCATGAGAATAGAGCATGGGAGGGCCATAGTGCCTGGCTCTCAATTGGAAAAAGTACTCAAAATGTAAATGGAGTTACTCTTCATCCAATCAAAAGTCATCAGGAGTCCAGCCTTTCTTGAGCTGTGGCCAGGGCAGTAAATGCCCAGAAGCAGGTGGCCTTAGGAACAGGACTGCACTGCTGGTTCTTAGAACTCAATGAGATAGTATTACCCTTCCCAATAGACTGAGCCAGGGATATCACTTGGGTCCCAGTTCCAACCTTTTGCCTCACAAGCACATGAGCGCTGACCTAGGGCATCTAGAATGTTCCTGAGACAGAAGGATGATGGGATCCAAGGCCTAGAGCTAGAAGGGACCTCAGAGGTCATCTCGTCCAATCAGCTCATTTTGTCCTTAAGGGAACGAAGGGAAAGGACTTGTTCATGGTCACACAGGTAGTAAGGTAGCAGAAAGCTGTGATTTGAACCCAGTACCAGTAACTCTGAGTTGGGTACTCTTTCTATTGCATCACGTTGGCTCTGTTGGGGCCTAAAGAGATCATCTGGTCCTACCCACTGCCTCCTGCTTTTTTGAGCACCTGGCCCTTAAGGATACCTTCCTTGGAGCCAGTTGAATGAACTTATCTTGACTCACATTTCAGTCTGTTCCCTCACATGCTGGGGAGACAAAATGACATTTATAGGGTTACATACTTGGAGAGTTCTGCCATTTCCTCCTCATAAATCCTGCGGCGCTCATTGAGGTCATCAGGCAGGTACTTGGCTATCATTGCCTCCATCAGTAAATTTTTGCTACATTTCCTCACAGACACACACTGCACCAAGAAGGAAAGAAATCAGTTGTCTCTGGGGCCTGCCCAGTCATTGTGAAGGTCCAGTGATCAAATGAGCCCTGTGTGAAGGCTGTTTTGACACACAAGTCAGGCTTCCTATAGGTTTTAATTCCTAGGAAAGTTTATCAAGTATATCAATCAGGGAAGGAGGAGGGGGAGGGGACAAAGCATTTCTATAGCCCCTATGGACAACACAAATAGTGTTTTTTATAAATATCTCATTCTCTTTTTATCCCCACCTGACAGTTGAGAAAACTGAGGCTTGAGAGCCCAGGGTCATGCAGGGGATAGATAATTCTGTTGGGCTCTAATTATTCATCTCAAGCAAGGCCTAAAACAGGGAGATCTAGGCTTGTTAAAAGCCTAGAGACAAGATTGGAGTTAGCCCTATGATGACCTGTCTGAGAAGTCATGGGTCTATTTCAGACTGGTCCTAGCCATAAAGCTTTGACTCTCATGAAAAGGGTCTAAATGTCTGATCTCTCATTCTCTCTCTCTCTCTCTCTCTCTCTCCTCTCTCTCTCTCTCTCTCTCCACCATGGTAGCTATAACGTTTTCTTGAATTAAATATGCTGTCTTACCTCTGCAAGGCCTTCTTTGCACAGGGGACACTTGGGGTTGTGATCCAAGCTTCTTTCAAGACATTTCATGCAGAAGGTGTGTCCACAGGGGGTGGTGACAGGCTCATAGAACAGCCTGAAATCAAGTCATAAAAACCAAAATTAAGAATTTAACTCGATTTTAAGCTTTTTGGGGTATCTTTGGCAAAGCAGTGGGATTAGAACCCTAGGAAGGTAAAATGAAAGCATTTGTTAAGGTTTTCAGCATATCTACAATCAGGGCACTCCCAATCTACCCAGCAGGAGATGAATCAATCAGCATTGGAACTGGCTCAGGATCAGCCCTGCCCTCAGTAACACCAGAAACAGGCATCTTGCCATCCCATATCTAACCCCAACATTCAACACTCTGCCCAATGCCTAAACAACATCTACCCTGTTCACCCTGCCTTCGGTCTTAGGGAATGATGATCACTGATCAGTAACCATTGCTACTAGAAATGGTGATCACAGTGACTGCCCTCCGATTACATGGCCTGACGTCCCTTCTAATTCTCCACCTAGGATCCCTGGCCCTCTCATTTCTGTTCCACTCTACCCTCCCATTTCATTGGGCCCCAAGAAACCCTTGTTCTACTGTTAAGGAAGTGCCCTTTATATTAAGTAGTTTCTCATGTTCCTTCCATTTCTTTGCCATCATGGAAGCCTGGCTCTCCCCTGAAGAGAGGCCTTCAAGAAGGGATCACTGGATTCAGTGCTGGTGGAATACTGATGAGAGGCAGAGGGCAACAGCTGACTGTCAAAACTGGAGCAAGGCCCCAGAAACAAAGGCCAGGGTTGAACAGCTCAACCCAGTGACCTGAAGAGGCAACTGGCTACAGAGCGCCCTCCGGTGGCTAGTAGTTGTACCTGCAGCCCTAACTGCTCATTTGCCCCAGCACATACAGAGGACTAGCCAATGGGACCAGTAGCTAACACAGTGGAAGACCAATTCTTTCTGGACTGGAATGCCCTCACGGTACTCTAATCACTGGCTTACAAGGAATATCCTTTCTGTCACACTATGCTGTTCTTTTTGTAGCTGAACTGCTTGGGCATGTTCAGAATGAAGAATTTTGCCCAGTTTATAATGCCCAGGCCTAGTCCAGCCCACCAGAGAATGGGGGCTTTTGGTGGGGGTGAGGAGGGCTACTCCTTCCTCTCTCTTCCCAGTCAGACCACATGTGCTGAAAACACTAAGGCTGATTCTACTAGACAAGATAGGACTCAGGATGGGAAGGAAAAGAAGAGATGATAGCTAGAACCAGGTGGTGTATTAGTCCATGGGTGGCAGTATCCCTTGGAAGCTAGCTGTTGCTCTGGTTTTTTTTTTTTTTATGTCAGGCCTGTGATTTTCATCAGTGCAGGAACTCCCAGTGGGAAAAAATTCTTCCACCATGCAAAGTGGTACCAACTTCGAAACTTCTATTCCTAGAGAGTAGCCTGGAAAACTGAAAAGTTATGTGACTTGGCCAGGATCACACGGCCTGTATGAATCTGTGGTCTCTCACAACCAAACCTTGGCTTCCCTGTCTTGGCTTCCATAGTCTTCCCTAGCCTTGGGGTGTAGCTGAGCATCTGGGCTGCTGATGCAGCAGACATCAGGAAAAGTGACCCATCAAGAAGTATGGGATTGATGACACTGCATACCTACCTCATGCAGAGAGGGCAATCCAGGTCAGTTGGGTCAAAAGATTCAAAGGGAACATTGTGACCATGATCCCCATCCTGGGAGTCATCTGAATCTGAAATGTAAAATGTCCAATCAAATTTGGAGTGAGCTACTATACCTGGCCCAAGAGGGTCTGGTTTGTTTTTAAACATCAGAGAGCTGATTTCTTGCCCTGTATTTCCATCCTCAGCCTTTGGGAAGGACCTCTCTTGGAGTGGAAGATGTCACTCCCCAGGTAAGGTAGAATCTCCATGTTTCTTACAGACTAGTGGGGAATGTGACTGGGAAGAGGTGACATCAGCATTTATATATCTTATGCCATGTTTAGGGCATGATGAGGGAAGCCTAGCCCAGAAAAAAGGGACCTGGACTCTTGCTAACTAAAGTACAGTGTGGCCTTCAGGAAATGTTTTCACCTTTCTAGGCCACCTTCTCCATAAAAAGAAGGGGTGGATTAGATAGCTTCCCTCAGGCCTCTATCTGGGATTCTATGGATGATCTTACACAAGTCACTTCCCCTGCTTGGGCCTCAGTTATAAAATAAAGATCAGCCCATCCTTCATTCTCTTTTCAGACTTAATGACTCTGGGGCCCCCATACTCTCTTTAGGTAGGGCTATTACCTGTCTTGGGAATCTTGCATGGTACTTCAGAGTCTAAGGACTGCGAGGGGCTGCGTTTCCGTCTTGGCAGCTGACGTTTCTTGGGCTCTTTGTTCTCCTCCTCCTTGGCCTGGGCCGCTTGAACCTGTCTCTTCTTGGCCTGGACCCCTCGAGCCTGTCTCTTCTTGGCCTGGGTGTTCAGAGCCTGTCTCTTCTTGGCTTGGACCACTCGAGTTGCTTTCTTCTTGGCTTGGACCACCCGCCCTATTCTCTTCTTGGTCTGGGTCACCGGGGTCTGTCTCTTTTTCTTGGGCTGGGTGACTACAGTCTGTTTCTTTTTCTTGGGCTGGGTCACTGCAGACTGTTTCTTTTTATCCTTTGGCTGGATTGCTGGAGCCTTTTTCTTCTTGGGCTGGGTCACTCGTACCTGTTTCTTCTCCTCTTTAGGCTGGGCTGCCCGAGCCTGTCTCTTTCTGGGCTGGGATGAGGAACCTTGTTTCTTTCCAGGCTGGGATGAAGAAGCCTGTCTCTTTCTGGGCTGGGATGAAGATGCCTGTCTCTTCCCAGGTTGGGATGAGGAACCTTGTCTCTTTCCAGGCTGGGACCCCGAAGCCTGTCTCTTTCTGGGCTGGGTTGAAGAAGCCTGTCTCTTTCTGGTCTGAGACAAAGAAGCTTGTCTCTTTCTGGTCTGGGATACTGAAGCCTGTCTCCTCTCTGGCTGAAACAGGGAAACCTCTTCCTCATCAGGCTGGAACATAAAAGCCTGGTACTCTTCAGGCTGTCCCTCATCGGGGTGAAATACTGAATCCGGTCCCACATTGGGATGGAACAGAAAAGCGTGTCCCTCTTTGGGCTGGAACACTGAATCAGGTCCCTCATCAAGATGGAACATAAAAGCATGTCCCTCTTCAGGCTGGAACATGGGAGCCTGTCCTTCTTCAGGGTGGAACATAAAAGCTTGTCCGGCTTCGGGCTGGCACATGGAAGCCTGTCCCTCTTCGGGCTGGAACATGGGAACCTGTCCCTCTTCGGGATGGAACACAGGAGCCTGTCCCTCTTCAGGATGGAACATAAAAGCCTGTCCCTCTTCAGGTTGGTACATGGAAGCCTGTGTCTCTTCAGGCTGGAACACAAAAGCATGTCTGGCTTCGGGTTGGGACATGCAAGCCTGAGTCTCTTCTGGCTGGAACACAAAAGCATGTCTGTCTTCGGGACGGGACATGCAAGCCTGTCTCTTTTGCTCCAAAGCCTGGGCCATCAGAGCCAGTGTCTCCTCCTCATCAGGCTGGGCCATGAGAGCCAATGTTTCCTCTTCTGATTCGGGCTGGGCCACCAGAACTGGTATCTCCTCCTCGTCCTCCTCCTCCTGTTTAATCTGGAAGTCTGGAATGTCTATTGGTTCCTCTTTAGGCTGAAACTCAGGAAAGTCTAAATCTTCCTCTTCCTCCTTGGGCCGGAACTCAGGAAAGTCTAAATCTTCCTCTTCCTCCTTGGGCCGGAACTCAGGAAAGTCTAAATCCTCTGCCTCCTCCTTAAGCTGGAACTCAGGAAAATCTAAATCTTCCTCTTCTTCCTTGAGCTGGAACTCGGGAAAGTGCATCTCCTCCTCTACCTCCTCCTTGAGCTGGAACTCAGGAAAGTCTATCTCCTCCACCTCCTCCTTGAGCTGGAACTCAGGAAAGTCTATCTCCTCCACCTCCTCCTTGAGGTGAAACGTGGGAAAGTCTAAATCCTCCTGTTCCTGCTTGAAGTGGAAGTCAGGAATGTCTAGCGGCTCCTCTTTAAGCTGGAAGTCAGGAATGTCTAGCGGCTCCTCTTTAATGTGGAAATCTGGAATGTCTATCTCTTCTTCCTTGGGCTGGAATACAGGAATCTCTATCTCCTCTTCCTTAGGCTGGACCACTACAGCCTGTATCTCTCCTTCCTCCTCCTTGGGCTGGAACACAGGAATCTGTATGTCTTCCTCCTTGACGTGGACCATCATAGCCTGCAACTCCTCCTCAGGCTGGACCACTACAGCCTGAATCTCTTCCTCCTCTCCCTGGACCACCACTGCTCGTATCTCCTCTTCCTCTCCCTGGACCACCACTGTTCGTATCTCCTCCTCCTCTCCCTGGACCACCACAGTCTGTATCTCCTCCTCCTCTTCCTCCTCCTCCTCCTCTTCTTCCTCCTCCTCCTCCTCCTCCTCTTCCTCCTCCTCCTCTTCCTCCTCCTCCTCTTCCTCCTCCTCCTCTTCCTCCTCCTCCTCCTCTTCCTCCTCCTCCTCTTCCTCCTCCTCCTCTTCCTCCTCCTCCTCCTCCTCTTCCTCCTCCTCCTCCTCCTCCTCTTCCTCTTCCTCCTCAGGCTGTATGACCAGTGTCTGTCTCTCCTCAGGCTGGGTCACCAGAACCTGTATCTCCTCTTCGTCGAGATGGACAATTGTTGCCTGTCTTGTCTCCCTGGATAGGGCTTCTAGAACCTGTCTCTCTTCCTCCTCCTCCTGCTCCTCCTGGGCCTGGATGACTGAAACCTCTCTCTCCTCCTCCTCCTCCTCCTCCTCCTCCTCTTCCTCCTCCTCTTCTTGGGCCTGGAACACTGCAGCCTGTCTCTTCTCCTTGGGCCTAACTACTAGAGTCTGTTTCTCTAGCTCCTCGGGCTCCCCTTCTTTCCTCTCCTCCACACATTCCAGGCCAATGCAGCCAGGAGGGTCTGGCTCCTCCTGAGCAGGACAGCATTTCTGTATCTCCTGTGAGACAGGGAGGTTAGGCAAAATGAGTGGCTACTTGCAATTCTGGTCCTCCTCTGATTCCCATCAATAGCTGGGGTGGGGGCAGACGGAAGGGGAGGAGGAAGGAGTAGAGCAACCCCACCCCAAGTCACTCAGACTCTGAGCCTCAATTGCTTCATTGTAAAATGGGGATAATCCCTGTAACACCTACTTCATGGGATTCAAATAAGATAAACTGAGGTCTGTAAAGCACTATGTAAATGTCAGTTAATGTAACAAGGCAAGCCTTTTGCAAGGGCCACAATACAAACTTATGCTACTATTGCGTGAAGCTGAATTGGGAAAAGTTTAATTAGTTTTAGAAGCCCCCTCCCTCAAAAAAAAGAGTCCAAAGTGATTTAAGGGAAAAAATGTATTTCCCTTTTTTGTAAAACTTTTTGGTCTGAATGCTTGGAAACTGATAAAGCAAGAACACTTTTAACCCAATCAGGACTTGAGGACCCACACTGTGACAGGCCAGGAATTCACTGGGCAGCCTGTGAATGGCATTCCTAATAAGCAGGTTACTGGGGCAATAGGTCAGCTGGTTAGATAACCAGTTTCCCAGAAGCTTGGCTAGCTGCATAGGGATTATTCAAAGCAGAAAGAACTTTTCTTTACCCAGGGAATCAATCTAGTGCCAACTTGGGGAGATTGACCTGGGGGAAATCCCTCCCTAATCTTAATCTGCAGTCCAGAGGTCAAAGTTGGCCAGACTCCTCTTCTCAGGGTACAGGTCGGTAGTAGGTGAGATACAGGGCAAATGGGAGACAGATTTGAGGTAAGGTAGAGAAGTAGCCATTATCTCCCCTCCCATAGTCTGTGGTGTTCAAATTTTCGAACATAATGACATGAGGATTTAACTTCCTAGCATGAGAACCCCATTCTTCCCAAGATTTTCAAGTACTTGGCATGCTGGTAGATCATGCTTTACAATGGAACTTTCTTCCAGGCCTTCCTGCTGGTTCACAATGCCAGGTTCTCCAAAGCTATCTAAATAGGCTGCCAGGAACTCCTGCCCCATCCTCTATCCCCTTACATGGACACCCTCGCTCTGTCCTCTATTTCTTTCCTTTCACTTAGAGACAACTCTGTCCCAGGCACAGTTTGGTATATCTTGTTTCTTAGCCTGATACATGGGAGAGGGCTTCAGCAGGAAGATGGGTAGGCCAAGCCATCACTCCTCCAGCAGAACCCACATTCCCAGCTCCCTCTTGCCTTGGATGTGGCGAAAGCTGTTGTAAGTTTTACAGACTGACTGACCCTTCCTCTCTAATGAAACTTTCCCCAGATCTTTGACACCAAGAGCTCCATGGAAGACTTGGAAAAGCAGAAGGGGAGAAAGACCTTGTCACTCCCTCCCCTTGAGCCAGCCCCCTCCCTCCCTCCTCTCCCCTGCCCCTCCATTCCCCTGACAAGGCCAAGTCCATTAAAGATCAGAGCCCTAAAGCAGCAGCCAGCAGCACCTGTCTGCCTTACCTGGACCAATCCTGGCAGCTGAGGGTCCCCTCTGCTGGCAGCTCCACGGGTCTGGGAAGCCACGGCACTGCTTTTTGGTCTAGAGCTGCTGGGCTCCAGTTGTAGGCTGCTTGCTAAGCGCTCCTGGGTATTCCCAGGGATGGGTGAGAATAAACTTAACAGGAGCTGAGACAGAAAGCATAACATTTCACTCCTTAGTCAGCTCCTTCAAGGCTCTGAAGGTAAAGTGAGCAGGAGAGCAGCTCTCTTTTTTTTTGGGGGGGGGGGAGCAGCTCTCTTACAGAAAAAGAGCAAGGGACAAAGTGATTTTTCTAGTCGAGGACCGCCCCCAACATGTTGGACACGAAGGAACTAACTCTGATCTGGTGTTGGGGAGCTAGCTGTCTACCCAGCTCCCAACAGTCACTATTCCAGAGCAGGCCTGCAGATAGATATGCTTCTGACCCATTTATTTGGCAAGGAAGCAGTGAGTGAAGAAGCAGACAGAGGAAACCAGGAAAAGTCCTAGCAGAGAATATGGACCATTCCCATAGGGTGTCTTCAAGTCATAGGGAGGGGGTCCTTTGTTCACTTTTCCTACAGAACCTCAAACTTAAACTTACTTTAATCTGGCTGATCTTTCTCCCTATTCTAGTCAGCCCTCATCTCCTCCCCTCTGCCAAAGACCCTGACCCTCCTTGTCTCTCTTTAGAATGGTGTCATGTCTGAGTTTCAGCTTCTCTAGCCAGACTCTGAGCAGCTGGGGTCAGGGTCTGTGTTCTCTCCCTGCTTTTTCAATTATGTTCAATTTCAACCCTCCTCAGTCCTGGAGGCCTAAAAGGTGCCTGGATTCTCAAGGCCTAGAGTTGGCAGAAACAAGCTACAGGCAGAAATCTACTCAATGGTTGGCCAGTAGCCAGGGCCCAACAGTGAAGAGAATGACAGAAGCCTGGGGACTTTGTTCCCTGAACGGGTCCAGCCGGGCCACACAATTCCAAGGTGAGACCTGGGAAAAAAGGCAATGACCTTCCAATGCAACCATATTAGAAAACACAAATAGCTTCCTTTCTAAAGAGAAAAAAGCAAAGGGGAGTGGAGATAAAGGGAGGAAAAAGAGTGAACAATGGTACCATCAACCCTTCTTCAGTATAAACCAGAAAACTACTCAATGACTGGAGAAATCCAAGGTCTAACCCAAGGTCTGGTTCATCTCCCAGTAGGAAAGACCACTCCACAATGCTAAATCAAAGTCAATTCCACTCCAGTCTCAGCCTTCCAAAGAAGAGACTTGAATGGGTCAATAAAGGAGGCAAAAAAAAAAAACCCAAAGAACCCCCCACAACCATAACGTTCACTGTCCTAAGTACTCTCTATAAGAGATCTTAAAGGTCATCTAATCCAACCCCTTTGTGGTACAGAAAAGGAAAACTGAGGCTTAGGGAGGGGAAGAGACCTGCCCAAAGTCAAGGAAAGAGCTCAGTTTCAAACACAGGTATTCAGACTCCAAATCCAGCATTCTTTCCGTTATCCATTCTGTGGAAGGAAATTGCAGCCCACCACAGAAACATCTGCGTTCTAACTCCTTTTCCTTCATTTACTTGAGTCTTTGCACATACATTTTCCAAATCTGACAACCATATTGTCAGCTCCACCCAGCCCTCTTTCCATTGAGTGCCCGCCTAGAGGCCCTTGGAAGGGACAGGACCCTGAAGCTCGGGGCGGTTATGCAAGCAGTTGGGAGAGAAAAAGGAGGGGAAAAATCCCAAGCATGGATGGAAGAGCCCAGAAAGAAGGGGTGAGAAGCTAAAAAACCGAATTCCCTTATCAGAAGAGAGAGCCAGCCTTGGGAGGAAGGGGTATGCTAGAACCAATGTATAAGCTTACCACTGACTGTGGCCTGGCACACAGTAAATGCCTGGTAATCCAGCAAGGACCCCTACTCTTTGGGTGAGCCTCTTATCTATCTACTGACTGACCCCAACCCTTCCCAGGCTCTCTCCTTCCTTCCCTCCATCCCTCCCTCCCTCCTTCCCCATGAGCTAGTCTGTGGGATAAGGCAATGTCATCTCCTCATCATTAGAAGCAGCAGTCTAGAACAGCAGGTAGGCAGCCTCGATAATTGCTTTCTCTCCTTGGGAAGCCAGGAGGCCTTCAAGCAGGCCTCAATAGCCACTGATTTTTTAAAAACCTTTAAGGCTATAAAGCCCCCAGCTCACCCTTCCCCCAGAGGAGGGCTCCTATAAATGTGCACCAAATCATGGCATCTGATTTCCTGGAAACGCTGAAAGGAAGGGCTTCACCTGGGAGGTAAGGGGCAATAATGTACAGGAGGTGGTGCTCCCTTCCCTGAGGCCCCAGTACAGAAGCCTTGGAAAGGATGGCTAGTCAGTTCAGCCCAAAGGGATCTGTCTGTCTCATCTCTCATCTCTCCTCTCTTTGTTTTTCCTCTCATTCTCTCTTTCTTCTCTCTCTATCTCACCTCTCATTCTCTTTTCTCTTTTTGTCTCTCCCAGACAAAGAAAAGAGGGCAGCAGGCCAGCCCCTCACTTGCCACGGGAAGCCAGCCCACCAGAGTTATCTAAAAGCTGGCTTAGACTCACCTTGGCAGCTTCACATCTGGCCAGCCTATTACCCTCATCCAAAGCCACACAGAACAGGAACTCCCTGACGGCTTCTTCTGTATTTCCCAGGATGGCCAAGGCTTGGCCTTTGCGTAAGTGACCCTACAAAGAGATAGGTCCCCTTATTCAAGCCCCACTTGAGCAAAAATCTGCCTTGAGCAAGAGTTCAGATTAGAGAACCTTGAATCTTATTACACATAGCAAAGCAGGCGCGGTCTCAATTGTTAAAAGAGAGTTATAAGATGGCCCCTGCAGGTTCTGCCATTTAGTCTAACTACCTCATTTTACAGATGGGGAAACTAAGGCCAAAAGAAGGAAAAGGAATATGATTATCTGGACCATGCTCTCTTTTATTAAGTGTTACTTGCCCCAGAAAACATATTGTACATTTTATTTTATTTTATTTTGCTAGACAATAGGGTTAAATGACTTGCCCAGGGTCACACAGCTAGTAAGTGTTATGTGTCTGAGGCTGGATTTGAACTCAGGTTCTCCTGAATCCAGGGCCGGTTCTCTATCCACTGTGCCACCTAGCTGCCCCCATATTGTAAATTTTAACAGAGGCCTTCTAAAGCCAATGCAATTTGGGGGCGTGATGGCAGTGGGAAAGGGATTTAGGAACAGATAGGCCTTTCGATGCCTTGCAAATCATGCCAAGTGCCAATGCACTTGTTACATAGAGAACTACTTCAGTCTTCTTCTTTTCCTTTTTTTTTTTTTTTTTGGAGGCAATCAGGGTTAAGTGACTTGCCCAGGATCTGAGGCCAGATTTGAACTCACAGGGCCAGTGCTCTATCCACTAAGGGCGCCACCTAGCGGCTCCCTTCTCAGTCTTTTTCTTGACAGGTTACAAGGAGACTTGGATAAAGGGGGGTGGGGAGAGCTAATGAATGCCAGCATCTTTTCTGCTGCTAGTCTTCAATTTCATAGGCAACTGAGAGCTGAAGTTGGGGGGAGGGGGAGGAATAACACACAGCCAGTTTGTGTTCCAGGCACAATTTAGATACTGCATTTATATCAGTACACTGAAAGTTTCTGAGAAACAGGGCTCCAGGCTCCAAATAAATAAAGTAGGGCTGCAAGTATATTTCAGAACCTTCTAGCAGATAAGCCGTGTTGAATTTAACATACAAATTTACATTTAAAATGTTCAAGTTAAGGAGGGGAAAAAGCTGGTCAGTTTGAATTCTAGAAAATTTTCCATCTCCAAAGAGCTGGTCCAAAATCAGGGAAAAGGCAGCAGGAGCCCCCTTTTTGCCCTTCCCAAAAGGCCTTTCCAACTTGTTCTGCCACGGTGCCTGGAAGTTTACCATTATTGACTGTTTAGGTTCAATTAAGTCCTTATTTTTTTTTTTGTTTTATTTTTAGGCAATTGGGTTTAAGTGACTTGCCCAGGGTCACACAGCTAGTAAGTGTCAAATGTTTGGTCTGAGGCCGGATTTGAACTCAGGTCTTCCTAACTTCAGGGCCAGTGCTCTATCCACACTGTGCCACCTAGCTGCCCCCAATTAAGTCCTTATTTTAAAATGTGAAAAGGCTATGTAGGAGGGGAGGCCTTTGAGGGGATCATGCTTCACTGGCATTTTATCAGAGAAGAAGGATGTTTGCAGGACAGGAAGGCCAAGATTAGTGCTTGGGGACCTGCCTACAGGGGCCATCTTTGAGGTGCTGGAGGACAAGGGACAACAGGGACTTGAAAACAGGGACTATTTATCCCTTTCTTTGTCTCCCCATGCTCTATCTCCCCTTTTGGGCCACCCTTCAAACATTTTCTTAGCACCACCCCCCCCCCCCACCGCACACCTGTGGAAGCTCACAGAGGACAACGGGGTGGGGGGCAGGGGAAGAAGGGACCTTCCTAACTTGTTTCTACCAGGAACAAACCCATCACCCAGTAAGAACACGAACCTTCAGCCAACGTGGCTGGAGTCTGCAGGCCATGTCAGCATCATGCAATGCAGCTTCAGGACGTTTCAAGACAGTATTGATTTGAGATCGGTTGCTATAGAGCAAGTAGTCATTTGGAGCTGTTGATTGAAACACACAGCAGCATACAGTCTCATCAATTACCATCATCAGCACAGAGCCCCAGTTCTCTCTGAGCTGGAGCTGGATGGCTGAGTCCCACTCCCAGAACCAGGTGCCAACCGGTCCAAACTGGATCTGGCTGCCTGGCAGGTGATCCCTGAAGCTGGTCACCACTTACCATTTATAATGTGCTGCCATTTTCTTTTTCTTTTTTAAATTTTTATTAATTTATTTTGATTTATCAACAATCACTTCCACATGCTTTTGAGTTTAAAATTTTTCTCCCCATTACTCCCCACCATCCTCCCCAAGATGGCACACAATCTGATATAGGCTATATATATATATATATGTATATGTACACACACACTCTTATTAAACATATTTTCAGATTAGTGATGTTGTAAGTAAAAATTAGAGCCAATAGGAGGAACCACCTGGGTTTTTTTTTTGTTTATTTTTTAGGTTTTAGTCTTGGTAGCCCTATTTTCAGCCATCCCTTCATTCACTTTAACCCATCTGCATTTGAATTTTACCATCTGTAAAATAAGCTAAGAAATAAGGCTTGCTATTCTATTACATTTAACTATCTAGACCCCCCAAAGTGGGGGTGGGTGGGAAGGGAAGAGCCAGGTGTGACAGTTTAATCCTTTTACAATCCAGTTAGCATCACACAGACAAAATGTTTCCTGGCTACAGAGCACACTTCTTAACTGATTTAATAAATGTATGTTAACCTGGGGCTGGGTAAGTGTTACAATGAGATAATATTTGAGAATGAAGAGAGATAATATTTGTAAAGCACTTGGCAAATCTTAAAAGCACTATATAAATGTTAGCTGTTATTATTAAAACATTAAGATTATGTGAACGATTTAGCATAGATCCATCCCCCACTACTGGACAAATAATGCCAAGTTAAAGAAAGCCAGGTGACCAGCAGCATCTCTGTATATATTAAGCAGCCCCTATGATGGAAGGGCAGTTTCTCTAGGGAGAGGTGAAATTCATTTGGGACAAGGCACTCCACTAATCTCCCCACCAAGGCATGAACAACAGAAGTGCTCAGGAGGAAAAAAACAGATACAAGAAACAAGCACCTGTAATCAGAGAATGGCCCTGACTTTTGTGGTGGTTGTCATTTTCAATCAAGTCAGACTCTTTGTGACCCCATTTGGGGTTTTCTTGGCAAAGATAGTAGAATGGTTTGCCATTTCCTTCTCCAGTTCATTTTACAAGATGAGGAAACTGAGGCAAATAGGATGAAATGACTTGCCCAAGGTCACACAGCTAGTAAGTGTCTGAAACTGGATTTGAACTCAGGTCTTCCTGTTTCCAGGCCCAGCACTGTATCTGTCTACTCGGCCACCTAGCTGTTCCATGGCACTGACTAGGAATTAGCAAAAGCACACAAAGTCAGAGCTGCAAGGGCCTTTGGAGATTATAAAATTTCAGAGGTGGAAGCTCTCGAATCTAAGTCAGGGGCCACCTACACTCACAAGAGGGCATCTAGCTTTTGCCTGAAGATCCCTAGTGACTGGGAACTCAATACCTCTTGCGGTTGTCCATTCCAAAACGACCTCCCTAAAATACAGATCTGACCTTCAATAAATCTCAATGGCTCACCATCACCTCTTGGATCAAATATAAAATAGCAATATAAAATAGCAAATCCTGTTTGGCATTCATAACCTGCCCCTCACCAAGTCTTCTGGAACATTACAACCTCTCCCTCCCCCACCCAGTACTCTGCAAACCAGTAACACTGGAGGCTTTGCTGTTCCTCACTCAGGATTCTCCATCTTTGCCTCCTCCTGGCTTCCTTCAAGCCTCAGCTAAAATCCTATCTTCTGCAGGAAATATTTCCTGATCCCCCTTAATTCTTCCCTCTGTTGCTGAGCTCCAATTTATCCAGTATAAAGCCTGCTGCATCCCCTAATTAGACTCTGAGCCCCTCCAGAGCAGGGACTAGCTTTTGTATCTTTGCACTCTTTGTATCCACAGCACTTAGCACAGTGCCAGGCACACAGGTGCTTAATAAATATTTGCTGATTGATTGACACTGAACCTAAATCTGCCTCTGTGCAATTTCTGCTCATTATTAATCAATAATAGCTACCATTTATATAGTGCTTTACATGTATCATCTCATGGCTCCTGGTTCACATCTAGCCCAACCCATAGCAGATGAGGAAAATGAAGTCCTGAGGAAGGAAGGGTATTGCCCATAGCCATATAGCTGGGAGGTTAGGATTAGAAAAGCTACTCCTAAACTGGGTAGATGAAAATGGGGGGGGGGGCACAATGAGAATTTCTCTTCCCAGGGCCCTTTTCTCATAGGGTCTGATAACCCTTCTCTGATGTCACTGGATGATGGGGGGGGGCAGTTTCTGATTGTGGTAGCAAAGAGGGTGGGGGTGTACAAGATCACAGAGCTAGAGCTACAAGGGATTCAAGGGTCAGGTGGGATTTTGGTGCCATCTTGTCTTACCAGTGTCAGGTTTTTTTTAAAGCCTATCCCAAGGATTTGAAATCACCCTTTCCAGACCTTTTGAGAGCTCTGCATAATTTGCTAATAAGCATCAGCTAAGGATGGATGAAGATTTTTGATTTTTTTAAAAAATATTTCCTGTTGGGGTGAGTCACAGAATGTGGACAATGGGTCCAAAGGGAGCTTCTCTGCACCTTAATCTGCAATCCTTCTTGGGTCTGAGAGGCAAGAATGACACAGAAAGCCATATACCAGTCCCTCTGTATGGGGGCTGTTGTGGGGAGGGGGGAAGGGGGAAGGGGGAAGGGGGAGAGGCCTCCAATTTTGCCTCTCCTCCAGCAATGCTTGTCACTGCTCCTTTCCTTCCCATCCACATTTTTCCTTTCCTTCCCATCCACATTTTTCTTAGGTATTACATTCTTACTTTGTAAATTAGATGCCATCCCCCTGCTTATACCTGTTGCAGGCCTATGATGGCAGTCAACAAGTAGTTCCAATTTTGCCCGTTTCCATGTATTTGCGTCAATCCCATATCCCCTAGAGTTACCCGCATTCCAGATACCACGGCTATTGCGGGGGGGAGTGTTTTTGCCCACTGTCAGCCACTAGAGCTGCTTTCGAGCTCAATTCTCGTCACCCCCAAATTGCCCCGTACTCAAGCCCTCCGCCAAGCCACCATCACCGCTGCGACAACTACGCAGCAATACTGGAGAGACACATGGGAGGGGGAAGGAGAGAGTGAGGAAAGGGAGGGAGAAAGAGGGCAGCAGCAGTCAGAAGGCATAGCACCCCCTGAAATGGCCAAGGGGATTCCAAAAGCTCGCCTCAGGAGCCCATCCAGACCCCCTCCAAGCAGACACACAACTCTGAAGCTACTACCATAAACTGGCCGACCTGGGCTTGCCTAAACAGGGAGGCCAGCAGGCCCAGACGATCGATGGCAAAGGAGAATCGATCGGGCCCCGCCAGCGGGGGCGGGGGAGGCAAAGCGGTTCTTTCGGCCTGGGGAATCGCGTGATGGTAAACAGCAACCTTGATTCACAGGCCAGTTGGGTGATCGGCGCCCGCTCCCACCTCTCCTCCCTAGCTCCCAGGGATGGTTTCCGAAACCCTGGCCCGCTTCAACTACCTCACCCGTTACACAACCCGGCCCCACCGGGAGGAGGGGCCGGGAGCCGGGCCTGGTCCGAGTGGCCGAGCTCAAAAAGGGCTTATGCAACACGATGCTCTCCCGGCCTAATTCCACTCGCGACTTGCACGCAAAAGAGCATCCATGCCCCCCGAAAGTTACCAATTCACACAGAACCCCACGCCCCCTCGGGACCGAACGATCGAGAGGATGAGGCAGAAAATTCTCAGGCCCCGACCCTAAGATAGCCAGACTGACGCACGTGAGCACACACCCACCCGCCGCCCAGCCAGCGCCACACACTGCCCTGAATGGGCACCTGCGGCCCTCGCTCGCCGCCCTCCCCGCGGGACCCCCAGGGGTTCGGGTGTTTTGGGATGGGAGCAGTTAGTCAGGGAAAAGTTGGTACCCAAAGTGAGCAAGCAGGGCAGGGGGACAGGGAGGGAAAGACGCGCTTGGGGGGACAGGTTTCTCCCCTCCACCCCTCGGGCCGGGACGCCCCGCCCCCACTAGGGCCCCGCTCCTTACCTAGATCGAGCGCCTCGCAGTACTTCTCAAGCGCCTGCTCCGGCTTGTGCTCCTGGTACAGGCGGTTGCCTTCGTGGCGAAGCCGCGACGCCTGGGATGGGCCCGGGAACCACTTGGTCAGCAAGTTGCTGAGCAGCACATTGACCCGCAGGCGCGGCATGGGCGGTGGCGGCACCGGCACCGGCAGAGGAGGGGGCGGCGGCAGTGACTCGCCCGAGGTACCTGGGCTGCAGCTGGCGACCCCAGGCTCAGGGACACAGCACAGGGTGCAGCGGCGCTCTTGCTCCAGGCACACTTTGCAGAAGGTGTGTCCGCAGGCTAGGGACACCGGATCGGACAGGAAACCTTGGCATTTCCGGCATCGGAACCCATCCCAGGGCGCTGTGGGCGACTTGGCGACTGCTGCCTCCACATCTTCCACCGGGGTCGCCGCCGCCTCGGGGGGCTGGCTCGCGCCGCTGTCCTCCGCCCCGGGGGCGAGGAGCCCCTCTCGGCGCCGGATGCTTTCGGCCAGGCAGCGCACCAGAGTGTCGAGGTGCTCGGAGCTCAGCTGCCGCTGCTGGTACAGAACCTGGTACAGCCCGAAGGCTTCGTGGAAGCTGCCGCTGGCAGCCAGGGCATCCGCCTGCTGGAGGATCCCCTGGCTTTCAGGGGTAAGAGTCAGGGTCAGCTTCGGAGGGGATGCCTCCAGGAAGGCGGGACGCCCGTGCATGCCCGACGACGACGCCACCACGGGAGGCTCCGAATTCCTGCCAGCCGAGTGGCGGAGCATCGGCCCCTGACGGGGATTGGAGCTCATGGTGGATGAGCGTTGGAGGCGCCTAGAAGCCGTAGGGCTGGAGGCGCCACTGGAACAGTAATCGGGAGAGCTGGCCCGATAGGGCCAAGACCCGATCGGCCTCGGCCGCTGCTGCAGCGATCACTGGAGGTGCTGCAGCGGCGGCGGAACTGGAACGACAGGGATTGATGCTGCTGGAGCGGCGGCGTCTTCTGCGACTCTGGCTCCTGGGGATGACGAACAGTGTTTTTCAGCTCTCCACGGAGACCCTAACACCCATTCCGCGCGCCCCGCGGCTCCTGATAACTGTCTCGTCTCGGCTTCGTCTTATATAAACCCAAACCACGTGACAACCGAGCTGCCTCTCATTGGCCGGCGGCGAGAGAACTGTTACAAAACCTGACGAAGGGTTTTGTAACAGTTGTGAGCTCTCTCTTCTTTTGGCTCTGCTTTTTTTTTCGGTGTGAGTGCGAGTGTGAATGTGTGTGGGGTGTGTGTGTATGTGTGGTGTGAGTGTGCCTGGCGTGGTATATGTGTATGGCTTGTGCTAGCTATACGCATTTTAGGATGATGTGTATGTATGTATCTATGCGCGCGCGCGCTCTCGCTGGTGGGTGCTATGCGCCTGTGCCTTTTGGATGTTGTTGTTTATCCGCCTTTACCGGCAAGTCTTTTGCAAAAGCAAAACTCACTGTCTTTGCTTTTGCACCAACAGCCACCCTAGCGCCCCCCCTCCCCCGCAGGCTGCACGTGTGTACGCAAACCTTTCTGCACATATAGCTTCTTCCCCCAACTCCAGTTCCTACACGGCTGGACAATCATTGCCCGTAGAGAGCCCTAGTGGCTGCACAATTGGGGTGTGGGGGGGGAGCGGCGTAGCGGTTTGCAGACAGCCGTCTCCTGAGCATGGCTGATCTGCCCTCTGCACACATCCACGAGCACGCACATTCTATTCTTTTGGGTGGTTTGCTGCAGGGTTTGGGGGGGGGTCCCTAGTCCCTCTCGAGTGGGGAAACGGACAGGGCTTGAAAGGGCCTTTTAGGAGCCTACTAACCTTGTGAGTCGGGACTAGCTGACCTTCTGAGTGGGGGGGGGGGCATAGAGAATTGGGGAGTGGACAGCCCGGAGCTTAGAATTTCTTCTCGATCTACTCAGGACAATAAGATCCTTCTAGGAGTTTTGGAGGGGTTGGACATGACCTGTCAGAGAAGAGGACCGGAAAGCACAGATAAACCAAGCTGAAGCCCCAAGGAACATTCTGGGTTCACCAACTAAATTCTCTAAACGGGTTCCCTCAATAGTCCCTGTCCTAACTACCCCCCTCCGGCCCCTGTGAGACTATTTTCTCCTCAAAGGACAGAGTCGGACTAAACGAATCGTGAGCTTCCCACGCCATCTGACTTCCTGGGATCCTGCATCACAGTCTTACGAGTGACCACTCAGTAATAGTAGGGGCTGCTTGGGCAGCAGCTGCCACAGTCCCCCACTTCTGCAAAGAGGGGTGGATTATTGTTTGGACTCAATTTTGAGAGAGGTCTGTGGTCAAGAAGGCAAAAGGGAAGATATCCCTGACAAAAATTGGCACGTGTGTTCAGAGTGTGCAACTGGAGGCAATCTGAGAATTCCCACTCCACACACTCCTTTCCACCCTTCCGACACTCCTTTCCACCCTTCCGACACTCCTTTCCACCCTCCCGATCTCCCCTGCCCTCCCCCACCTTCCCAATCTCCTGCATTCACAGTCTTGTGATCTCCGAAACTTTGGGCCTGGTGTCCTTTCCTATTGCCTGCTCTTCTCCTCCCCCACTCTCATGTCCTTTGGAGCCCTGTGCCAACTTGGGGGGGAGGCAAGGAAAGCTGGAGACCCAAATTGTACTTTCATGGGTCCCCAAAAAGTTATAGGTGCATATTAGCAACTGGTTAGGAGGGGTTTTCCTCCTGGGATCCAAGGTCTCCAAATGGACAATGACTCCAAATGACCCAGTGGTTTCTACCCCACAAGGAGAGAAAGGGGCGCACATATACCAAAGGGGGTAATACACATTTACATTACAATGAATGATTATACTAATTTCAAGGCAATTGATTCTGAGGTCTGAGAAGCAACCTGGTGGAGATTTCCAGTGGTCTGGGGGGAGGATGGTTTGGGAGGGGTGGGGTAGGTAATCACGAAAAATATGTTTGAGGAGGCCAGTTCTGAGCTGACTAAGGTATTTTAAAATCTTATTTTTATTGATTAATCTTATTGATTTTATTATTTAACATTTTATTTTATTATCACATCACTTTCACTTCCAAATATATCCCTCCACTACCCAATACCTTTCAAAAGCGGTTCAGCAAAAATCAAAGGGCAGCCATCATGCATGCAGGAATACACATCTACTGTCCCCTAATTCCGCAAAGAAGGGAGGATGGTCTGTAGTCAATTTTGAAGGAGGCTAGTAGCCAAGAAGGCAAAAGCGAAGATATTCCTGACAAAAAAAAAAATTGGCACATGTAGATGCCAGAAGCAGTGCAAGCAAGAGAAACATCGTCTACTTAATACAATGTATGTGCAAGGCTTTGCAGTTGGAGCAGATACAGAGAGAGACCAGGGCTGTGCTTTTGAGGAGTTTATAATCTGCCACATCGATTGGAATTCATTTCTGTATCCTAGAATCATAAGTCTAATGCTGAAAGGGAACTTAAAAATCATGTCTTCATTTTACACTTGAAGAAATCTCAGTCGTCGTGGCCTGTTCCTCTATTTCACCTGGCTAATCACAGGGATGGTCACATCTTTGATCTTGCCATCCACACATGATAAGTGATTCATTTTCATGGTCATGAAATCTGATGGTGTACTGCAGGAAGGAGCCAATAGGGAGATATTGAAGATCAGAGACAGAGACAGACATAAGAGAAAGGTAGACAGAGAGATCAATCTGATCACAACCCATTGTCAGTTGGACTTTTCCTATGTTTCTGTTCTCACCCTGACCTCCAAATCCTTTATCCATACCCTGGCTACATTTGCCCCCTCTCCCAATACTGACCCCTTGGTAAACCAGCTCAATACTGCACAATCCTCAACTGTCCAGTTCCTGAGTCCTGTGAAAGAGCCTTGCTAATACATCAACAATGAACATGACCACAATCTCCCTCCTCAGCAACTGCCCACAGGCTGCTATGTGCCAGGCACTGGGCTGAGGGCTAGGGATACAAAGAAAGGCAACAACAGTCTAATGGGAATGAAACCATCTGGCTACAAATAAGCTCTATGCACAGTAAATTGGAGATAGAGAGGGAATATAGAGGGAAGACTGAAGGTACTAGAATCAAGGGAGAATGGGTAAGTCTTCCTGTGGAAGGAATTTTAGCTGGGACTTGAAGGAAGCCAGGGAAGCCAGGAGGCAGAGATGAGGAGGGAGAGTGTTCCTGGCATGGGGGGCAGCCCAGGAAAAGGCCCAGAGTCTAGAGATGAAGTGTCTTGTTTGTGGAACAGCTAGGAGGCCAGTCTCATTGGATCAGAGAGTATGGGGAGATGTGGGGTGTAAGAAGACCGAAAAGGTAGGAGGGGACCAGATTGTAAAGCACTTTGAATGCCACACAGAGGATTTTATATTTGATCCTAGAGGTGATAGGAAGCCATGAAACAATACTGACGCTGTCCACTACAAACTTATTTTGTCTAACCTCAAATGGTCACTCACTGCAGCAAGACAATCCTACTATTCCCTAATTGATTCACTATTCCATTCACCACAATGTCTCTGTCTCTTCTCTCCTCAAGCCACCCATGCCACCTCTTTCCCCACCCTCAGCGGAAGACCTTGTCCCATACTTGGCTGAAAAAAATTAAGGTTATTCCCTTAGAGTTTCTTCTCCTGTTCTTAGGCTGTGTGCCTCTGACATCATTCCCCACTATCTCTTCCTTCACTCCAGTCTCTGATGAAGAATTGGCCCTTCTCAGCCAAGATAAACCCCTCTGAAAATATCCCTGATCCCATTTCTTCTCATTTTATAATACTTTTCTCTCTCTCTCTCTCTCTCTCTCTCTCTCTCTCTCTCTCTCTCTCTCTCTCTCTCTCTCTCTCTCTGCCTCTCTCTGTGTCTCTCTCTTTCTCTCTGTGTCTCTCTGTCTATCTCTGCCTCTCTTTCTCACTGTCTGTGTCTCTCATCTTCAATATCTCCCTACTGGCTCCTTCCTGCAGTATACAAACATACACCTTCTTATACTTAAAAATAAAATAAAATAAAGCCCCCAACTTGATCCAGCCATCCCTATTAGTTCTCCCCCTTCTCAGCTAAACTCCTTGAAAAAGCTATTGCCTTGCCCTCTTCTAAATCCTCTCTCTAAATTTGCTTCTAAACCCTCTTCAGTCTGGCTTCCCATCTCATTATTCAACAGAAACTGCTCTTTCCAAAGTTACCAATAACCTCTTACTTGTCAACTCTAATTGCCTTTTCTCTGTCCTCATCCTCTGACACTGCTGATCACCTACCTCTTCCTGGATCCTCTCTCTCTTCATTCTGACTAATTTTTCTCAGTCTCCTTTTCAGGATCTTCATCCAAGTCACTCCCACTAACCATGGGTATCCCCCAAGGCTCTGTCCTGAGCCCTCTCTTCTTCTCCCTTTATATTATCTCACCTGATAATCTATCACCTCCCATGGATGCAATCATCATCTCTATGCAGATGAACTCTTGTGTGAGTGTTGTGTGTGTTGATTTACTTTTTAAAAAAAAATGTATATCTTTAGTGCAGCAGATAAGTAAGGATTCATCCCATCCTGGGCTGTTTTGTTTTGTTTGTTTCTAAACTGAATTCTAACCTATGGGAAGAGGGCTGGAGAGCAGAGGGAGATGTTCAGCAATAATCTGTTCCCCTAGAATCGAGCTCTAGATTATCAGTGCTAATGAAGGGGCAATACAGGCAGCCACTAATTTACAAATGATTGGTCTTATGTGGTAAGTGGCTGTTGGGAATTTAGGAAGCTGATTAATTCTCCAGATCTCAACATCTATAGAGGGCCTAGTAGTCACTTCTTAGATGTTCTAAAACTAGGAAACAAAGGGCAGTTCTCATAGATCCAGACTCTAATTCATCTTTATGGGGGTCATCTTTAAGTCTAATGTTCAGTTGAAAAGGTTTTATACAAAATCAGTGCAGCTAGAATTAAAAGACAAACAGTGGAGTAGGGAAAAAAAATCTATGTGGTAAATTTCTCTGATAAATGCCTGATATATAAGATATGTATATTAAATATATGTTATACTTAATATATTATGTAGGGCATTATATATGGAACATATGTGGAATTATACACACA